GCCAGAGCCAATGATGCCAATGTGTCCATGATCAAGTTGACCCACAACATTTGCACAGCTTTCAATGGACTGTCCTTAATGAGTGTAAGAGGGAGACATTATTGTTAATCCCTTTGTTAGGCCTCCCTATAAGCTCCTGTCGCATGACAAGCTTGACAAGAAATGAGTTGAAATAAGTACAAACATTGACAACAATCTCCAGCCCAACTTACAGAAACAAACGCCGCACCAATGAAGGCGACAGCTATAGCCACCACGTTGACAGTAAGTTGGAATTGCAAGAACTTAGCAATAGAATCGTAGACATTACGACCCCACATGACAGCTTTGACAATGCTTGTGAAATTGTCATCAGTGAGGATAATATCGGAGGCCTCCTTGGCAACATCAGTACCGGCAATACCCATGGCAAAACCAACATCAGCACGTTTGAGAGCCGGTGCATCATTTGTACCATCACCTGTGACAGCGACAACTTGACGTTGCGGCGCCTTACGACTTTTGATAATACCACTTACCAAAACGTATTTATCCTAAGCAAAAAAAACAGGGAAAGAAATTCTTGCTTGTAAATTTCATTTTATCATTAAAGTCTTTCTCCTCTTCGCTATTCTCCTCCCTCCCTCCCGCTCTGTCTGCCTGTCACAGTAGCTGCCACCACATCACTTCATATCCATACCTTCCAATTGATTTGCTATTCGAGATGGCCCTAACACCAAATTTCATTTCTCTTAATTACTATGATGACATCATGTAAATGACAAGTTACTGATAGCACAATGGAAGGAATGAGGGCTTACCTGAGGACTTGATCGTGCCAGAACAGCTAGATTCATCCAAACCTTGTCAAAGAGCTCCTGTTTCACCTGTCCCGTGACCTTATCTCGTATGCGTCGATTGAATTCCTGACCCTCAAGAACGAGGAAATTTTCACCAGGACGAAGAATACCACATTTTGTGGCAATAGAACGCGCAGTATTCACGTTGTCACCTGTCACCATGCGTACAGTAATACCAGCATTTTGACATTGACGAATAGCTGGTGGTACCTCTGGACGCACTGGATCCTCAATACCCACAATACCGATACATGTTAGGTTATTTATAACAGTACCCTCATCGTCCCAGTTAGGCTCGCCTTCAGCTGAAAGAGTAAGGAGAAAGAAATTGCATTTCCCTTTCTCCCTCCAAAACAGAGGCATCGGTTCAGTGGGACTAATTACCCTACGGAACAGGGCAGACTGCAACTAAAAATATAGTCCGCCCACAGACAAAAAATGGAATCCGTTGTTCCCTAAAATCGTGTTAAAGCGCAAGAAAGAAAACCAAAGTAATTGGAAATTGGAACTTTAAAATAGGAGAACCTCTTCAACTCAGTTCGCTCATTAAAGTAAAGAGTATAATTTCCTAACCAGGGAATCGTATAAAAGTGAAGGCATACATCTGTTCTCTACATTTTGTCGCCTCATCCTTTGTAGTAGTTTGGAGGCGATCTGATGGCCATTGTGCTAAGTAGAGAGACTTGAGTAGGTTGTCAAAGCCATGGGAGGAAAATGAAGTGGAATTTTATCCATTCATTCAGCTGACATACACCTTGTACGCACAATTATGCAGTGAACTTGATAGAGATAGATTAAATTCTACTTCCGAGGACTCCAAAATTACCTCCTCAACAATGATAACCCCATATGTGGAGTGAAAGGATCAAATGTTTGAAAAGCAACCTCCAAAAATAGTCCTACCGTGTTTGCATTTCAAGCGAAGGAATTATCTGATGTGATGAAAGAAGGTAAGCGAGATGGAGACGGAGTCGTTCCAGTAATATTTCGAAGGCGTGTCGCCTCTACTCCCGCATTTGGCGGCGCGAACTTTCACCAGTGAGGGAGTGAGGATATAAAAAAAATGGAAGGGGAGGGGGAGATTTGAGGAGAAAATCAAAGCACTTCCTTTCAGGATTTTATGCGTGCTCCGTCCCTCGCTCCTCCATCCCATGCGTGTGCGCGCTCAATCGTGTGGTTAAATCGTGATCATGCAATACTATCACCAAAAGCCTTTCGTATACTTCCTTATGAAGGTAAATTAAGGCATAGGAAGTGGTGAAAAGACAAACACCTACATGCACTGAAACGCCTATAGGCAAGACCAATAGTTCGAAGACCGTCTCCAGCCATTGATTCAATGACTTCCTGTGTTAGGTGCTCCTGATCGGTTGGAGAGAAGGAGATAGGCTCACCGGAGGCATCCAAAATCCACTTACACCTAGTAATGGAAAGGTCTCACATTGGATGCCTTTGAGCAAAACAACTACCATCCACATTGACTCCATCCTATGGCTTACTTGCGAACTACGATCTCAGAGGCGCCTTTTGTAAACATAAGAAAGTCACCATTCTGCTCCCTGATGACAGTACTCATGGACTTTCTGACTGAATTAAAAGTGTACACCTTGTAAAGTTGCTCCTCAGGCCATTCGGATCGCATAGCCTCGTAATTGCCTCCTATGGCATTCACAAAGCCAAGTAGAGCACAGTCAGTCTTGTTGCCCACCTGCTGAGGCAAAGCTCCCTGATTTGGTGGAGGCTACAATAAGGAGAAAAAAAACAGACGTGTCTTTCAATAGAACTCGCAGTACCCTAGCAACGATCCCTAATAATATCTACTGTTGCCTTTTTTGAAAAGAGAAAATACTAACAGGGTAAGGAGGTGAGAGAGAAATCACTCCAGACAGTAGGTTGTAACAATGATTTCAACTTCTTGAGGGCATCCAGCATATTGAAGGGCGACACGCAACTGCAGGACCTACCGCATGGTGCAAAGAGGACTTCTTTCCAATTCAAAGTCAATTACACATCTTCAAAAT